AACAAGGTTCACTTTCCATTTCTAATTGGAAGTCAGACAAACCCTTTTTATTTATCAGGCAAAGTCATAGTGAGGTGAATCATTCAACGGTCTTCACATACAAGTAGAGTCTGTTTTCCTTGAGAAGGATTTGTAAAAATGATAATAATCCCACTTTAAATGAAGTGTGAATTTCTGAAAACACCTAAAATGCAGCCTGCAAAGGAAAATGTAACGATCCATTACCAAATAGCCTAAATAAAGCAAAGACCTATCTAATATAGTATCCAAGGTTTTAAAGTCAGAAAGGATGGTGATCATCTTGTACTGCAGGTGGACCATTACATTAATCATGCGAGTGTTTTGAAGGACTGCATCAAAGACTTTTATCTGAGGCCAGAGGAGGATTTATGCTGCTTGTTCTGGTTTATTCTGCCACATTACAACAGTTTGTTAAACATGAGAAAACTTTTATGTCTACCAGAATACTTTTGACTTCTAGGAACATGAAAACTAACAAGTACGTTCTGAAGAGTTGTCAGGGAGAAAGAACAAGAATGCACCTAAGCAGAAAAATCTAATGTTACAGAGACAGCAAAATTAAGCTAGGAAAGAATTCCAGGGCAACAAAAAAGCACCCAGATCTGACTATTCCTCTTCATCATTTCCCAGTTACTGAATGCTGCACAGACAGACTGGAGGAGACTGTCTCAGCAGTACAGCATAAGCATACTTAAAAAATAAGAGATTATTCAGGAAAGTATTGTGGAGAAATAAAAAAAGGAGGACTTGTATTCTAGGCTAAAGTCATAAAGACTTAAAAGAAACCTGTAGACAGAGTAGTATTGCTAGCACATTATTGCAAGGCTAGCTGAAAAGTAGAGGGCTGTATGAAGAAATCTAAGTCTCAGACTGCAACGATTCTAAGAAACATTTTTTTAGTTTGCAGGCACTGCATGGCAACACTGAAAATGTGCAATATTTCTATTCAGCATGCAATATCAATAGTAAAGGTAATAAATCAGTAATATGATAGATCTATCCAAAGGTATTATCCTATCTCAGATTTTACTTTGATGGTTTTTTTTTCCTTGTCATATGCCTGAGCATGAGATGCAGTTATTCTTAAAAGCATGGGCTGTTGCTGTTCCTTTTTCATTTCTCATGCTACAAGGGACTGGAAGGTTAAGAAAAGCTTACAATTTTACTTATTGTAAGCACACATATGGAAATACAGTATCTTCCACATCCACTTGAACTCTGTCTAAGCACAAAGATTGCTAAATGGTTTTGAGGCTTTTTATACAAAACTCACCTCTGCAAAAAAGTAGTTCAAGCTACTCCATTACTGAACCTGTGTAAATGGTAGAGAAATGTCACTCCATCTTTCCTCAACTAAATTCAGTTTTATGCATTATTGCATAAAACATATGCATATGCAGGAATTGCATCTTGAGGTTTCAAAATACTGTCAGCATGGCACAAAACCTAATCTTGCATATGCTGCCCTTATAAGGCAATCAGTGTGATTTCCTTCACAGTCTTTTGATCCATATGTTTAAGCCTTAGTGATGCTAGTGATGTTTAATGACTTAGAATCTAGATTTTATATTAAAACAATAAGAGTAGAAAACGCCAACAACTTTAGAGTTGATTAATTGACTACTCAGAGACACTTGCCAGCTTTGCACAAGTTCAGTCTGCCAAGAATTCAGCACAGTTAATTAACAGCGCTGGGTCTTTTATAGTCTTCAGGCTTGAATAGATTATTAGGACAAAACCTAACCTGCAAATTCAGTTCTGCACAGTGCTAGTTTTCTTTTAGCTCCAGCTCAAGAAGCACTTCAGACTAGATTTAAAGGAAAGTAAAAGATGATGTAAATAGATCTAAAGAGCATATCTAAAATTTGAATGCATGCTTTTCTTGTTCTTAATCTCAGAAACCTAAATGCCCTGGTCATGTGATGGCACTGCACCTAGGCACACATCAGCTTTTGTTCTTTACAGCATTTCCCAGACCCGCCTTGTGCCCACCTGAAATCTGGGTGCTTGGCTGAATGTCACTGTCATCTCCTAGAAAGCCTTGAAAATATAACATGTTCTTAGCTTGTTTCATACGCATTAAACAGGTTTATACAATTCTTTTCATAAAATGTTTTTGCAGCTGTTTCTATTTTAAAATAGTATTTAATTTTTATGTAAAACTCTTGTGATGAGTGGGCTTGGGCAGCGACATGCCAAAAATTACATTCCTGCTTCTCCCGTGTTCCACTAGCATGCTAGTATCACTACACTGGGCAGATTTATGCTACTCTGTAATATAAAATGCAAGATTTGTAAATTCAGAAAGGAAGGGTGTGGTGCAGTGCAACAATTGGCTTTTAATTTTCCAGTGAACTGCTGATCATGTGCTGAAGTAATTCTTGACCTGGAGATATACTTTATATATATATATATACATATATAAAAAAAACCATACACACAGATGTACAGACATATGCATGCATATCTGTGAGCATTTATGTAGAAATATATGTATGTTCTGTGAAGAAACACCCTACTCTGCTGAAATCAATGACCACACTCCTTTTAATTTGAAAGGAATGAGGATTCCTTTTTCCTGCACCAACATGTACACTTTCCTCTATCTTTTTGTATGACTTAAAAGCTTTGAGCACTGTGTATTTCATAGCTTCTGAGTTTGCTAGGTTATTTTCCTCATTTGAGAAAGGCAATAAATTTATCTAGAAATTATTTGGTGAGTAATACTAGCCTCACAAATTCAGACAATCTAATCCAGTGAGAATTAGCTCACTGAGAAGTGGAAATGTAACATTGATGATAAGTATAATTTATTTCAGATCTTAGCATTCTAACTTCATATAGAAATGACATTTCCATAAATAGTCTCTCTCAGGAAACAGCCAGACAGTGAAAATCTCTGAATTACATGAGATTCTGTGGCGTGATTGAGGCGGGAGGATGTTCATAGCGTTAACCTAAATATGCATATGTTGAATACTGGAGTAAGAATTGGGAATTGACTCCTAATTCCATCAACTCCCAAGTTCTTCCTCTGCTTAATTTTGTAATAATTTTAGGCAAGTTTTCTTATGCCATGTTCTGCATCTCTAAGGTAGGAATAGTAAATTCCTTCCCTTTGAAAAAAATATTTTGAGACATGTAAGTAAAAAGTGCTGTGCAAAGACTTTGCATTATTATGGTAATCTTAAAGATAAAGAATGTCATCTTACAAAATAAGTTTAAAAGTGTTATGTGGAATACTAAATGTTTTTAACTTTTTGAGTTTGAATTGCTATTCAGATTCTAAGCCTAGACTGACGCTTTGTTTGAAACTTCTTTTAAAATCATTTCCACCTGTTTAAGCAGTTTTGACTTTGCTGCAGACGTAGCACAATAGTTGCATTATACAAAGTTAGACTGCTTGTCAAGTATAAAACCTTGGTTTTCATTTCCTTATATCTCGCTGCTAACTCTATTCCACTATCCGTCAGTTACATGATTCTGTCACACAAATGGCAGGTGACATAGCTGCCAGTCAGATCTATTCCTACAAATTTCTAGGTTTAAGAAATCAAATTCACTATTGTAAGAGAATGGAATATTTCATTAAATATCAAAAAAAAAAAAAAAAAAAAGAAGAAAAAGTTTTCTTTTGGACAATTTCCCTTTTAACTCCTTGCATAACAATTATGAATTTCTTTGAACAGTGGATACAGTCATATATCCTTGTGACCATCACAAGCTGTGGTGTATGGTGTGTGGTGTAGCTGTGGTGTATGTGCTATGACTTATCTAGCATGACTGCTAGGGCACTGAGAGGAAAATACATATCCCCTCTATGTGGATAGAAGGGTTTCTGTGAAAGAAATGCAGAGCGATTAGACTTTTTTCACCTGCAGAGGAGAAAGGCTTGAAGCTGTGCTCTGCATCTTAGGTATTTATGTTCTGCACAGCACATGAATGAAGTTTGGGGCAGCAGACTGCAGAAATATCTCCTCTGCTCCCTTCCTCTCATGCTTTCATCTCAGACATAGGTTGGCCAGGTTAGAGCCAAGGAAGAGATGCATGTGCGGTCCTCATCGCAATGCCTAGACCTAAATGAAAGCCTTGTGTTGGTTCTGCAGACCCCATGTGAGTTGCACACAGAGATACACTTATATCTCCTTGAACATTTTATAATTCAGGAGACCATCATTCCAGAGAGCTTGCTTTTGCCAATTTATTCTAACAATAACTCTATCTTAATCTGATTTAGGTTTATCATATTTGGCAAGTGAATGAAAAGCAAGCTAACTGCTTAGATTTAAATGAACAGCAACAGGAGATTATGACAGCATTTTTCTCCAAGAACATTTGCAATTAAACTTTGTGTGTATAAGTTTAATTGTGTAGTCCCTAGCAAGCATAATAAACAAGCTTTAGTCACATTAATGCTGAACTGTTATCAGAAAACCTTAAAGCTCAATCTCTGCGGAAAATGCATTTTAAAATAAAAACAGGTATAAACTATTCAGACATTTTATGTCTGCCATAAAAAGGAACAATAAAATAGTCCATAATCACACTTTTGTTCATTAAAATGTCCATCAAAAGCTAAAGAATGGTTAAGCCTGCAGTAGCTAGACTGGCAAGTTTATCTGCAATGGATTATTAATATATACTATGGTATTTTGATTATATTTTTTTCCCTAGAAATGACTGAAACCTTTTTCTGAGACTTAAAGGGAAGAAAAAGATTTAACATCACCAAATGGATCTGCACTATCTAGTTGAACAACAGAGAAAATACATCAAAAACTTTAAATTATTGCTTAACAAAGAACTCTGAAAGACCTGATAAAAGAAATAGATTTCATTCTGATTATGTTTCAAGAAACGTTGCTATAATTTTATTCTGCAAACTCTTTATATAATGTAGCAAAAATAAGCTCTTTGGAAAGTAGTGCAAAATTCATCAGGAACTTAACTCTTTTAGTCTCCTTATTTGTTACTTGTAGGGGTAAGAAGATTGGACACGATATAGATTTTTTGATCACCAATCCAGGACCAAGAGAAGATGATGATCTTCTGCATAAAGTTGTTGACTTATGGAAAAAGCAGGTATGAAGTAAATAATATTTGGCAAAAAAAAAAAAAAAAAAAAAAAACAAACCAAACCCTTGTTCTAGCAGCACCGAATAAAGCCTGTGTAGTGTTGAAAGGATGCCAAGTCCTTTTCACAGATGATGTCAAGATTTTGAAATCATTTTTCCATTTGATCATCAGGCAAGATGATCTAGGTACACCCTCCGGCTCTGAACACTGATGTTGAAGGTTATATCAGGGGAAGAGTAACCTTGCACACGCTCTCTTATACGTTCCCCTAAGAATCACCTTGTGCTCAAAGGTAGGAAATCAAGACAGAAGGACTTTTGAGTGACCCACTATGGCAGGTCACTCATTTCATTTAAGATTTTCTTTTTGGTCAGCTTTATTCAGTTCCAGCTTTATAGTTGGAAGCTTCTCAATTATAACAGGTATAAGTACCTCAAAATGTTCTAAGTCAGAAAGACTATTGGGACAAACAGGCCCTTTGTTTCTTTTTCTGCCTTTTTGGTCAGCTAAGGTATCTTTCAACATTTAAGACTTATGCTGTTCAAAGGAACTGACTACATTTCAATGTGCAAAAGGGTCAGGCTCTCTCTGAGGTGAATCATGAAATGTCCCACTGCCAAAACAGATCAGCTTTCAACTGAGACAGCCTGGAGAGACTATCTTTGAGTTCCTTCTTGAAGGACGTAATTAATGTGTACTGGGTTAACATGCAGAAGGTCTCTCAAAAGTCCCAAACAGACAAAAGCTTTCTGACTGTATAACAAAGTGATCTGGTCTAGATGTAGTCAAAACCTTGTTCTTTCCTGGTAAAGTACTACCCTTGCTGCATTTCTCTTTCTGTAGGTTAATTTTAGTCTTTAAAAATGTTAAAAGATTATGGCTAATTTCTCAGATTTGTTGCTTCCATCTAATTCTGTACAGTAAGTGTACATATTGAAGTAGATTGCTAGCAGACATGTTTTATCAAGCTCCACTATGGAGCTATGACCACTAATGAGTGCTGAAGAGCTTTATTTTTATTTATTTATTGTTTTTTTTTTTTATATTACATAAAACTCGTCTCTCAGTAATTCTACTCACTTTATTCTGAGCAAAGCCTTTCTTCTTGGTAGGTATCCTTTTGCTTTCTAAAGACTCAAAACTCCGGGAAGCCATGTGCAGGTCCTTCAAAAATCCTGTTTATTCTCACACTGCAGAAAGGAAAAATAGGATGAGTTGAAAGCAAGAACCTGCCCCTGAGTGCAGCCTTTCTCTCCTTCTCCCATGGTCTCACTTACATGAAAATGAGCACAGTTCCTGTGATCTGAGAAGCCTGGCGACTGCTGAAGCTTTGCAGCCCAATACATGTTTCTTTCATTTAAATTGAATCGAAAGGAAAGAAATAGAAAATAAATTGTTCTTGATGATTTCTTTTTAAGGATAAAATTTGGCAAAAGTGAATGCAGAGAGAGTCAAGGAGGTCAAGGGTATTCAAGGATCTGATGAAAAGATTACGATTCCTCTAAAGATCCCAGAATGAAGAAAATGCCTCAAGGGGAGATAAACACCTGCACAAGGAACCAAACCCAAATAAGACGGGGATTGTTTAAGCTGATAGACAAAGACTTTTCTGTATTTCCTTTGGAGTCCTTATGGCTTATAATACTACTTGTATGGCCTCTTAACTGTGGCAGCTGTAATATATTGGCTTTTACTGTTGCTACTAAAAAATCAGCTGCCAGCAAAACCAAAACGCAAAAACAAAGACAGGAATTACACTCCCCTTGCCTTCTTATTACCTTTGATTTCTAAGAGGAAAAAAGGAAAAAAGACCAAATATAAGGCACTTTTATACTTTTTGGCAGTACACCTGTCGGCTGCTTCACAGCTTTCCACTTTTGTGCTACTGCTTCAAAGCCCAGATTCATCAAAGAATGTCACCGAGGTCAGGATGTTGACTGCCTTTCAGCAGCTCCTAGTGAAGGATCCTGCAACATTTAACTTGTAGACTATGGGGAAAAAGTAATTTAAATAGTTTAAAAGGGCCTTTTTCTTACCTGAAAAGTTTAATGTAACAAGATTCTTCCACTGAAAGTTGTTTAAAACTAAGTAGTTAAATCAACATCATCCTGCTCTTTGATATGGCACCATCAGGGATAAATGAACCAAGGAACAGACAACACAGAATATCCACTGAGCTCCAAAGCGGAATGGAAAAGGGAAAAGCTGCAATGCAGTACTCAAGTTATAGTCTTAATGCTTAATTAAAGAAGCTTAATAAAGAAAGAAATTATGTCCTCTGTGAGTTAGAGCTTGCAAGTCAGCATGCTAACAGGCTGAGACATCTGTGTCCATGCAGCCTTGTACACACACTCTGCAAAGAGATCTTTATTCTTTGCTACAAACCTATTTAGCATTGTTCATCAATGGGGGCAGAGAAACCACTGCTGAAGGCATTCAGCACTTCAGTTTTTGGCTCTGTGTTTGTGCAAGTATAACATTGCACTAGCCCATATTGCCATTCTGTTTTTTTTCAGCTTTTAGGAAAATAGGGAATATGGATAGTGCTAACTCTTTTTAGTATCTAAATAGTTCAGTTTAGATTCTGTCATTCATCCTTGCTGAGGCGTATGGATCAGGAATGGGAAGCATTGATGTCCCATTACTGTGCACGGTAAGCAGCAAGTAACCAGAATGACTTTCCCATTGTTAAAACCACTTTTTTTTCCTTTTTCTTCTTTTTTTTTTTTTTTTTTTAAGATAGTTCAAAGGACAATGAGTCCTTCCACTATTCTAGTGGAAGAAGGTTATGTAAACATTTGAGGGACTTCAAAGGAGAAACTTTGGAGCACTTCAAAATTGATCCAAGGACCTAAAACAATCCTTATGATGGAAATCTTAAGAAATTCATTCTGTTTATCTCATCCTAGAGAAATATGAGAGTTGGGTTTGATCAATGTGTAGGTATAAAGAAATGTAAAAGAAGATGCGGAAAGCTGACAGCTGATAGGTTTGTTGGTCTTGAAGATCGAGACAAAACAAATTCTTTAACTGGAGGATGAAGTTAGTAAATTTAGCTTAGTAATAAGATGTATTTTTCCTGCTAGAAAAAGTAATTTAATTCTTAATAGCCTGTGAAAAAGTGGTTAATGCATTCTTTCTTTCTAGTATTCAAGACAAATTTACATTTATTTTGCAAAGCCAAATATTGGAAATCTCAGCTTTCTGTTTAATTGCGAGCTCAGAGGATCACTGTGGTTTTCTATATTCTATCAATTTATAAAAGCTGAGAGTTATTTATAAGGCTGGGAGTACCAGGACTTAGCACTGGAGTATTTTCATTATGCGGAATCACTCAAAACTTGCAGTCTTTTTCCTAGCTGATCTTTCCTACTAGAGATGGCTTCAGGGATAGTGAACACTCTTATATTACTATATTGTCAAGCTCTGTTTCTATTCTGAAGAGCCAAGGATGACTGAAGATAGAATCTGCCTTATTTCTCTTTTTATTGTGTAGGTGAGGTTTTGTTCTGTAAAAAGGCAGCGCTGGGCAGCAGATGGGAGACTGCTCCTTGTCTTGTCCCTTGTTGCTGCTGTGCTTTGCATGGTGAGAAGTCTTCTGGCAGATGTGAGGAAACTGCACTTTACTGAGGGCAACTGAACATGCTCAGGTGTAAGAATCATTGGGAGAAAAGGGCAAGTCTGAGATACCTGGAAAGCCAGTGGCCATGGAAATTGCTTAGAAATGCAAAGCATAGGCATACAGACAGGTCTGAGGAATGACAGAAAAGTATATTTGCTAGGAACCTTGATGGGATAGTGAAGAGCTTATTGCAACCCCAGGAACCATTGAAAGTTGCTGGTTGTAGAGCAAGGGTGGTGGAAAGCTTTGCCCCTTTCCAGTCAGACCTCCCTGCTCTGCTATAGTGGAAAGAAATTATGCCCCTCCATTACTTCTATTTGGTTTCCTTCTGAATTTTCTATTTTTATAAAAAGAAAATAAAATCTATTAAAAAAAATAAAAATCTGTCTATTGATGGTTCACAAGCCTTTTAGTAACACATTTTAAAGAAAAAGTGTGCCATGCTCTGGTGAATCCTAGCCTTGCCACAAGGAAATCTCAGGCAGCAGTGTCTGAATGCTCTCCTTGGAACCTGTCAGCAAGATTATGCTCTGGACTAATCTATTTTCTCAATGTCTGACATATGAGAAAGAATCAATCTCTTCTCAGAAATTTCTGTTGACTGTTGACATCCATAGCAAAAAGCCTAAAGGAAAAGATGGGGAAGAAGAGCTAGAAATATTGTCCTCTACATACAGAGTAGGACATTGCCACTTTCAGATGACTACAACTGCAGATTTCCCTCTCAGGATTTGCTAATATTTTTGTAAAGGCTGCAGCTATTTCATGTCTGAACTGAGTCCAAATACAGACTTGTTGTGCTATTCTGTTTACTGAAACTGTACTTAACATACATTTTAAAGACGGTTGGCTAGAAACTCTGAAATTACAATAAATCCCCTCCAGTCACTCAATGTGACCAATGTTTCCTCTTTAGGGCTTACTCCTTTATTGTGATATCATTGAATCAACATTTGTAAAAGAGCAGCGACCAAGCAGAAACATTGATGCCATGGATAATTTTCAGAAGTGTTTTGCAATTTTAAAGTTGTATCAGCCACGAGTAGACAGCGAGAGTCAGAGCACATCAGAGGAATTTGATATGGCAGAAGTCAAAGACTGGAAGGCAATCCGTGTGGATCTGGTCATAAGCCCCTTTGAGCAATACGCATATGCTCTGTTAGGCTGGACAGGCTCCAAGGTAAGTAACCACAAAAGTCTATTTTTCCTTAGCACTGCTAGTCTGGTTTTGCCCTTACAGGACAGATCAGAGTCCATGGAACTTGTAAAAATGTTCCTTCTCCACACATGCCACATTTTGTACTGTCATCACCCCGTGATCAGAGCTGAGAAGCTGGTGAACTCATCAGTGACACTTCTGTATTGTGTCTAAGAGAGTTTGTTCTCCTTGAAGATTTTCTTTAGTTGCATAGAATTAAAAGTTAGATTTTCAGTCTGCCACATTGCTTTTCTACATTATCCCACCGCTAACACGTAACTTAGATGATGTTGAGTAGAGAGGTATTTTGAAGGGATGAAAGAATTATCCCAGTGATATTATAGGAAATAAAACATTTTTTGAAGAAATGTTATGAATTTTAATTCAATTTTCTCCACAGGAAATTGAAAACAATTTGAAATTTTTGTTTTTCAGTTAATGAAATATTTTGTTTCAGTTTTATTTTACTTGCATATTGTGTTTCTTCATTAACTTTGAATTAAACAATCTTTTGATAGGTAAAGCAAATTTTAAGTGCAAGTTGCTTTGATATTAGATGTTATTGTTTGTGGATAATTGCTGTTTTTGTGGGTATAATATATAGATATATTGTGGGCATAATATTTCCAAAATAAAAAGTTTTATCTGCATGTAAACTCAGAATTCAAATTGTTAATACTTTTCCAGATAATTATTTTTAGATCTCTTCTACACGCTTGCCCTCTGAGGTTAAGTATTTGTTTTAGGGAATGATTACATGGTATAACAGAGTGCTCCTTGAAATTATTAGAGCTCGCTTTGAATGAGCTTTTTGATATGCTGGATGCAGTACAGGTGCATTAGCGCTCCAGTCTACTTAGGTTAATTAGAAGCAGGATGTTTTAGACAAGGTAGAATGCTGCAATTGATGTGTTCTCCTGCTGTGCTGATGAGTTACTTCAGTCAATTTGAGATAATAAAATATATTTATTTGGACCTTGGAATAAGTACTACAGACTTTGGAGTCCTTTTTATCCTGGAATTGTTTGGCTGCTTAAAGGCCCATGTCTCCTCTGCCCCCTGTAAGTGGTTCCTTCACTTTGTGAAGCCCTTTGGGGTAAGTGGGTAAGGACTTCACCTTACTCTGCTTGGCTCAGCTGCTGCTCTCTGAGATGATTCACCTGCCAGGTGTGGGTGCCCATAACAGGCCATAGTTCAATCTTGCTTTCTCTTGGAATAGCCAGTTTTGTTCAGGAAAGTAATAGCTTATAGCTATTTCTTAGCTTCTTTCACTTATAGCTCTATAAGTGATGCACTGTTGCCTATTAAAACTGTCCCTGCTGGATTATCCAAATATTCAGACAAATGGTCTTTTAAAGAGGTTAGTTTTTCAAGTATTCCCTTGTTGAGTGATTTGCTGTTGGACTCTTATATGAAGGTTGACCCTTTCCATTTGTTACTCTCACTCGTATTTGTTACATCTTTTACAGCAGTTTGGGCGTGATTTGCGGAGGTACGCCAATCATGAGAAGAAGATGATGCTGGATAATCATGCCTTATATGATAGGAGAAAGGTACTTTTCATTCTTTTAAATAAAACTATCTTATTTTTATTTATGTGTATAGTTTTTCAATTTATTCTTGAATATTCAGGTGGGTAGTGTATTTTGGCTTGGATATCTATCTTGGTTATCTTGGCTATCTATTTACATGGTAAACCAGTCTGATCTTCACAAAATATAGTTTCTTTGACAAACGTTGATTCAATCTAAATAAATAAGTCTGAAAATCTTCTTTGTCATTGCTGGGATAATTTCTGAAGTTTCTGAAGTGTGTGTTAGACAGTGGCATGTGGAGAGAGCTGTGAAATGGCCACAAAAATCAGAACACCTCATCCACAGGCATTTGTAGATAAGTATTTTACTCTTCTGTTCCAGAATTAAATGTCTTTTCTGTTGCACAGCCATGATCTCAGGTGGGATTATGCTGACATTCAAAGAAAAAAGAAGGGGATCTTCTAAATGCCTGAGGAAATTTCTTTTGGATAAGATACTAAGTGGAGATCAGGGAATTTTCTGCTTTTAAAGCCTTGGATTAGGAAGTCAGTCTACATGAAATTCTGCTAAGCCAGTTACTAGTCATGGTCAAGCAGTCGTAATTCTGATTTAAATGCTTTTGGCTGCAGGTACACTGATCTCTGCATTCATCTTGCTTAATGTCTACATTCATATTAGGCTGTGTTAATAAGAAGCAAAATCAATACTGAAGATTTATACTGATGTCATTACAAGCAAAAGTACCAAGTCAAGATTTTACATTAATCTTTCCTGTAGGCTCTTTACAGAATGAGGAGTGCTTTCAGCCTCTCTTCTTGCATGTGGCATTTTCTCTTTGTGAGAATAAGCAGTAATCTAATCCCTCACCCTGCTTCAGCTATCTCTGTATGCACTTGTCAGGCTTGTATGCACTTGTCAGGAGAAATGATCAGACTAATGATTCACCCAATGTCCTGTCTCCAGTAACTATCAATATCTGATGCTTAATATATATATATATATATATATAAAATTATACATATGTATATACATGTTATTTGTCTGTGTATAATATACTTACATAAAATAGATAAATATGTAATTAAATGTTTCTTCATGACTTCAGGTATGATATCACTGTCCTTCCATCCTTCCTTCCGTCCGTCCTTCCTTCTGTCCTTCCTTCAACATTTTCCACAAAGAGGAAAAAAAATCCATCTTGAAATAGACACCCAATATGCAGAATTTCAGAACAGGCATCAGTAAATCGCAATCTGCTTTAAAGAGTGGCTTCTGTCAAGAAGTACTATTCTAACAGAAAGCAGGGAGACCACCCTCATTGCCAGTATTCTTCTACTTTTATGGTCTAATGTGTTAAATTCAAAGGAAATTTTTCTTATTTTTAACCTTGCAACAAGAAGTTGCAGAAAGGGCATTTTGAACAAAAAGCCTTCCACACTGCCCCCCAGTGTGTAACAGTCTGGAGTGTGCACGATACAGCCTTGGTGTCTGTAATTGTGAAGACTGAGATGATAAGCCGTGGTGGAGGAGGAGAAATTTGCAGGAAATTTCATGGCCTGGATGCATGGCTGCCCAGGCTGATTCTTTTTTCAGGTTAGCAAGTCAAAGGAAAGCTTCACTTTTGTCTATCTGTAGCTTTTGGAAGATACTGGACAACTCTCAAATTTATAACAGAACCAAAATCTTATTAAAAGTATGTTTCATATATCTTCCATTGCTGTGACCATTGCCCCAATGGAAACTGAAAATTTATTAGCAATTAAATATAGCTTTCCTTTTCATAAAGATTATTGGCAGTTCAAATCTGCTTCTCTGTAGAACTATATCCTAATGTTATGAAAGTTGGCATATTTCAGTTGACTTGTATGTACTGTTTGAAGTATAATGTTGGTGTGATATATATCAGCTAACATTTAAACCTTATGAAAATTTGCACATTTGGGAGAGAAAGGAGGTAACTGATCAGCTATCAGGAAGAAAAAGAAGTTGTAAATTCCTCTTGTCTTACTATTGCATTAGTGACAAATGGCACGATAGATTTATGAAGTAGTCTGATAAAATTCTCAGTGTATTCTTTTTTCCTGATTTATGAATGATTCCTATACTCCATAAAATAGCTCAAAAAGTATTTTTCTGTGTAACTCCTAGATCAGCTATAGGATCTACTCTATGAAAATTCAAATGTTTAGGGTTTTCACCGCATAGACCTTGGATCTTTAATTGCTATGACATAGCTTCCTGTCATTCCTACTTAAACCCTCTATAAGGAATATTTGGCTATGACACGCAGTGTATCTAGAACCAGAACCTAACAGAAGTATATACCTATATACCTATCTCCATTAGATATTTACGTGGTTATCATTTCAGCATCTGAGAAGTTTGCAATGTGTGTGCATGTATGTATAGTTTGTCTCATATTATTAATACCTCTGAAAATGCCAGAGAATGACTAGAGTTGCCCACAACTTAGAGGTGTAAAAGGTCAGATCACAAAGCTATTTTTCTTGCCCCAGAGGATCGGTTTGGCCTTGTGAGCTAGCAAGAGTGCTGGTATAGCTCTGGAAGCTCGCATAGCTTGGTGAAATTAAAATTAAACAGTTTTAAATGTAGCTGAATCAGATTCTAGTCTATAAGTATTAAACTGAAATTCGGGATTTCATCAAGAAAAGATTTTAAGCTGATTTTGTTTCAACTTCTGATACTCTAAAAAAAGGCTGACACATGGTTTCTTTTTTATTTTTGATAATATGCCTGTCATTGATATCTCATGCATTTATGCTGATGACTGAAGACAGTTATCCCTCAAACTTCCATTCCTGCATGAGGAAACATGGCATTTAAAGGAAAGCTCACATGAGCAGTTTGAAAATAGTGTGGGGGTTTAACAATCTGAGTCTTCAGTTCTGTGCACTTCCCAAGCTCTGATATGCCCAAGACTCAGAAATGTGCTAAAATGCACAATCAAACTGCTTTGAAATTTATGTGTAAAACTTCACACCTACAGCTGGTATTTTTGGCACAAAAAAAAAAAAAGCATTCAAGAATAGCTCTTAATTTGTGGGGAAGGCATTTATATGCAGATTGGAAATAATGTCTTGATGATCTACCTGACTTTGCTTTTTCTTATTCTGCAGTAAATCCTCTCTTGGCCGGTACACATGCCTCTTCTCAGATCTGTCTGTAAGAGTGTGCTGTGTCAGCCTGGTAGGCTGCCATGATCATAGTTAGCCAAAAGATCATGTATCTGTTTCAAATACGTGACATTGGAGGGCACTTTCAAACAATTTTCAGGTTTTCCTGTTCCTTTTAGGTTTTCTCATTCACCTTTTAAGCCTGAGATAGCTTTCAAAAAAAGCAACACGAGAAGGAAAAATCATTTTGACACATGGTGACAACTGTGTGAACTAAAGAGGGCATAAATTGTTATAGTATGGCCTGAGGCAGCAGGATGGTCCAGAGGTTTGAGTGTTATCCTACAGCTTCAGTCCCAGATAGACCAATTTTTTCTCTCTAGTTTTAACCAAACCACTTAGCTTTCTATGATCTCACTTCTCAACAGAAAATCTAATTCCCACAATGCAGATGCTTGACAAGGGTAAATCATTATCGACTGTGCCAAAAACTAGTTCAGTTTAATGAAGGATTTTGATCATTCAGCATTTTGTCTTTCCCTCTAGGTAAGAGTAAAAGCAAATGCTTAATGAAGAATATTGATAATTCAAAATTCACTATTTTTCTTCTTTCCTGATCATAGAGAAAGTTCAAATGATTATATTTTCTATAAAGGAAAATGCTTTTGCAATCTCAGTGTTGGAAATAAATCACACACCAAACTATTACAAACTTCCAAAAATCAGACAGCTCTTGGGGCTGCAAGCTGTAAGGCGGTCAGCTTGGCTGGCTGCTCCAGGATTATAAAGCTAATAAGCTTTATAGGAGGTAGGCTTTGATGTAATTAAAAGGACTTATTTGATCTTAGGCTCCCAATAGCCTCTCAGGCAGGTTGTTGAGAAGAAGGGCAAGCCAGAAGGAGCCAAATAGGCTTACATTTTTAAAAGCATCTGGTAAGTTTAATACTACTGGAATACTCTTCCTCCCTCCCTCCCTCCCTCGCTCCCTTCCTTCCTTCCTTCCTCCCTCCCTCCCTCCCTCCCGCCTTCCCTCCCTCCCTCCCTCCCCCACGGCGACATTTTGATAATCGAATCAATCTTAAGGAACACTCAAGTTTGCGTAGGAAAATACCAAAAAGGACCAGAGAAACAGATTTGATATGAGTTTTCCTGTTTGGCTGAGCAGTTCTGTTCACAAAGGACTGGCACATTCTTTCTGGAATTGTACTCAAGTAGAAATATTGTTCCTTAGAATTGTCTTTCTAGGAATCCTAAGAAGTTGCAATCCAGTTGTTCTTCAGCCAGCAGAAACCACATTTCCTATTTTTGTGTAAAGATGAGCATGAGGAACAAATTGTTCTGCAAACTTCATGAGTACGAAAGAAGTTTCTTAAAAGATCTCCTATGTGGTGCAAACTCCCAAACCCCACAACTTTTACCCATTATAAATTGGCTTTTATAAAACACACTCTTTCTCAACTATTTTAACTAACCTTCCTTACCTAAACTCATTGAAAAATAGTATAATTACCAAAGACTTCAGAACCCATCGTCAGAAAGTAAGCTGCTTTTCATCTCTTCTGAATTTTGCTGGACGCTATTCTCTGTAACTATGAAAAAGAAGAATATTTACTACTACTCCTCTGTGCTGCTCACATTTGCCCATTTGGTAGGATTCTTTATTGTTCTTTTATTTAAAAGCAATATTTAAGCTATATTTAGTGTTCTTGACACTAGCTGTACAGCAGTTTCTCAGAGTGACTTCTCAGCCTAGCAGAAGTTTGCAATCATTTTCCATTTTTAAAGACAAAGTCTCGACATAGTGCAATTTTAATGGTTGGTGCCAGAAGTTCTCAATGACATATATTTCCTCAGATAATTATCTTTTGAGTACACCAGGGACCA